AAAAAAAATCAAGGCAGCACATCTACTGCAATCTTTTTTGCCTCAAGCATTTCCCCTTCTGATAATCTTTTAACCCAAACTCTCAAGATTGTGTGACAATATCAAAGATCACAGAAAATGTGTTTCAGTTCATATTTGCATATATGAAACTTATCTCTTTTCCCTGGGCTACATTTGCAACTCCTAGAAATTTCTGAAGACTCTAGTGACTGTCCTGTTATTCCAGATTTAAATGGTTTATATATATAATTTGATAAGATACATTAATTTTAAAGACCCTACTACAGTTCTGAGTACAATTTTCCTGTAGATCAGACTGTAACATCAAGACTTTTTTAGGATCTCTTCCACTGTGTTTTCTGTCAGCCTGCTCTAACATGATACCATCTAAAAGGTTTAATTATTACACTTTCTTGTTGATTCTTCCAAATTAATGACAATCATTGCTTAATATCTGTCTATTGATGTCTCACTCCTCTCCAGTATCTGTTTTACCTGGGTTAGAAATTGAATTATCATGTCTAGTATATTCACTCATTTAATAATTCTGAATTCTGATTGAAGTAACACTGCCACATTTATTCTTAATAACTTCATTACTTACTGTCCAATATTTGACAGATGTCCAAAATTATCTCGTTTTAGTGATTTTGTTAAGTATTGAGAATTTACATTTACATATCAACCATAGAGAACAGCTGAATTCAAATGCCCTTCAACTGCTGTCAGGAAACAACCTACCCAAAGGGATGTGCTTCCTTTTAATCACAGTCAGTAGTGGCAGGAGTAACTACACATGGTTTTACCAATACTTCATCCACTTCCCTGCTCCAAGAGGGATGCCATATTTCATTCTCAATTACAATATCCTAGTGACTCCCTGCTATTCAGTACATTCCTTATAGTTGAGTAAGTTAACCGGCTCCTTTCCTATTCCATTCATAGCAGACGGGAATAACATTCATTTATATATATATTCAGTATGTCTGGATTCTCAAATCAACAGCTGTATTTCGAGTTCTTCCATACACACCGGCCATAACTCTTTTCCATATGACTTTTTCATTCCCAGTAAATAGAGTTGTTTTGACAGTATGACATGCTATCTTTCTTTTTTTTTTTTTTTTTTCCCCATATTGAAAATAGGTATTTTTTTTTTTCAACTTACAAAGAATCACTGTTACATACAGATTCAAAATCCGGCATTAAAGCTCAAAAGACCCAAAGAAATCTGGGAAAATCATGAGGACTTACAAAAACAATCTATAAAATTGTAAGGTGATACAGTGGCAACTGAGTTGAAACATCTCATTTATACTATCTCCTAGATGTGTTGTGATCTTAACTCTATAAATGTACAGTCACAAGCAGAATATGGATATTTAAAAGCCATAGTAGAACTCGGTGAAGATGGAGTAATAGTGACAGCAAACACTATAGTACCTTGCTATCAAGAACAAAGTAATACCTGAAGTATTGGAAGATGATCTGCTAATGTTTGCTAATCATCTCAGTAGGAATAGGTACTTTGTAATACTTGTTCCTAAATATTCATGCATCTCAGCATAGGCATTTATAAAACCCCTGAGCTGATTCACATTTTCTTGACTCTGCCTGCCAAGACCATGCTCATTCACTGCAGCCCCTTGTGCCTGCTGTACTGGATTTCAAGGTTCAGTTAGAGCAAGTCCTGCCTCCATTCGTATTAAAATAAGTATAATTTTTGTGCTTCGGTGAACTCTTTTTGTCATTTGATACCCAAATTTTGGATGTCTTCCAACCAAACATTTCCACTAGCAGAGAGAGGCAGTATGTGAGCCTGTGTTGGGTTGATGCATTTCCTTCTGCAGACTCTCCACAGATGGCAGTGAACGTAAATCCCAGGAGGATGCACTACATATCAACAGGCTGCCCAAACACATCGAACAAGTGTTCCCAAAACAAAAGGCAGTAAAAGAGAACTAAGGCAGGGCCACAACTTTTGCTTCATCCCTTTGGTTGAATGAATGAATCCAGCTGCTCGTACTCCAGAATCCCAAAACACCACTAGCAAGATCCACAATGATGCATATTCAAAGCACTGAAAACATCAATTTTGGATCAGGTATCACATAAGCTTGGAAGGGAACAATTTTACAGGAGAAGTTTCTTTAAATGGCTCAACAACAAATTAAACAAAATTAACTGAGAAAATATGCGTGAAATTTTGGATATCTCTTGCGTGAAATTTTATTTCAAAGAAAGCAGTATTTTGCAGGCAGAAGTATGTTAAGACTAATTTCCATTTGTCATGTCTCTCATCAATTAAAAGGTTCTTCCTCAGATAAGTCATTAATATAGGCATATACGTGAGGGACAAAATAGTTGAGGAGAACTAAATTAAATTAATTGGCCCTACAAGAGTTTGTTACCTTTCCTAATACAGTTTATGTCCCACAGGCCACAGAGCTGTGTCCCTAGCAGCTTCAATACATTCCCTCTTACCTCTGTGCCAATAAAGCCATCCAATTCATTTAGAATTCTCTAGGTACAGTGTTTTTACTTTTCTGATACTAAGTTGTAATTTCTATTGGTTTTGTTACTCATTTTTAAACTACAGTCTAAAGAGGAAAAATCTCTATGGCTTTAATGTGCTTATCTTGTCAGTCAAGGCATCCTGTAACTGCTGCACAGACAAAGAGCAGGCTGTTGCTCTGATGGTGGGAAATAAACTACACGATTCAATTCTAGTGAAATGATTGAGAGCAAACACCACAGCAAAGATGTGGGAAAGAGGTTGGAGACATCTTCCCCCCCATCCTCCTAGAAATGAACTCCAACATGCTGCAGAATTTACTGTGGACTACACTGTATATTTAGTAGGATTTTAGAGTACTCTGGCTGTAATTTCCTCTTTCATATTCACCTACACATTACATATGTGAGCCCACTCATTTCTCTGCACACGTATACACTCAATACACAGATGTGTCTCCTACAATATCCTCAATATACCAGAAAACATGAAATTCTCAAACTGCAGAAAGGTGAACAGGTAATCAAACTGAAGCAACTCTTACCAAACTCGATATAGCTAAATAAGCAGACTAGTTATAGAAAATGTTCCTACAGCTGTTGTGGTCTTGTAGCTACACCTTATTCTTAGTTAAATCAGAGTCAAACTTGACACTATTATAGGTAAAGCATCAAACTTGGAAACATATCAGGGCTAAAATTCTTCTTAGGGTTCATGTAATCTTTTTGTAGATTTTCTTAGAATCTGAGTAATTTAAATACTCAAAATTAATTCATTCTTCTGTCCAAGGTGTAAGATAACTTTATAATTATGTTCTCCTTTTAATGCAATTAAAAATTCTAATAAAATTCACATCTGTGTTTCTACATAAAAAGTGATACAGAACAAAATAGGAAATAAGACAAAATAACTAGAAAGAGAAAATTGCTAATGTAAATTTAACGTACCATCAGCTCACAAGTCTCTTTCCAAACAGAAGCACTGAGACATTAAAAATGACAGTGAAGTAATACAATTTATCAGCTGGTAAATTCCATTTTTGAGGGTATCAGCCACTAGTAAATTTCATGGTGTGTGGTTTTAAGAAGCACAAGTAGTTTCTGCCACTCTCATTTCATAATTTATTCTCGTTATATCAGACAAGAGTAGGAGAATTTGGATCAGGAAGCTAACAGCAAAAAAACCCTGACTTTTCTGTTCACTCATCAATACTGCTGACCCATAAGAGACATGACTTCTTGCTTTAGTCTGCGAAAAAGAAAAATTTCCAAGGTAACACAAATTTATTTGGCTGATACATACTGAACCTATTGTATCAGTCAAACAAGAATTAAGGTTTTATTGGTTTTTTACCTCTGTAAGAAACAAATTCTGAAGACTGTATTTGTAGGGGATTTTTTGTTTGCTTTTTTAATTAAAATATGAAAAATAAGACCATCCAAAGCTAAGTATCACACAAGACTGTTAAAGAAACTAGAACATACAGGAATACTATTATTCAAGTGTCCCAAGATTTACACCAACATAAAGAAACAAGGCTAGAACAAAGCTATGTTATATAAAGTGAACACATCTTTTCAGTGCATCCTTGTTCCACTGGTAAGTCCTTGAGACTCTTGCAACTACAGTATCACCAAACACGCACAAATAAACCCATCTCCACATGGATTCATCTCCACATGGATTCATCTCCACATGGATTCATCTCCAGGAGGATTCATCTCCAGGTCGATTCATCTCCAGGACTGTCCTGTGCAAGGTCAAACGCAGTAATTGAGATTAATAAACTAACAGAATAGAAATAACCTTACTGGCTTGTCCATATTTTAAACTGCTACAGAGATATATAAAAGTAAATGCTAATCTTTATAAATATGTATGTGCTTCATGAATGAACAATTTCTCCTAGGTGTTCTCTTGATTACTCAAATGCCTGTTGAACATGTGCTAGATTGACAACAGATCTGTCAATATTTGTCTATCTATTGGATGCATCATTGAACAGCTCAAAGCAATGGCACACACAACTTCAGTAAATCAAATCAGGACTCCTACACAGATGATTTCCAGTTAATTTATATTCTCCATAGGCATTTAAAGTGACTTGCTTTGAACATGGTGCTGATGTTTGGCTTTGAAGACATTTATTTTTACAGCATACGGTTTTCAGTGCTAAGATGAAATACAAAACTCCCTTGTTGCCTTTAAGTCACGCTAAGTTAGTGCCATTTGTATTGCTGTGAGTGCAAATTTCAGTGACTGGATGTTTGAGGACATTTTCTTCCTTTTGCACAGCACATTATTTAAAATAGTTGGCACCAATTTCAGTTCATCAGTGTTTCTTCTGATTTCACTTCTTTGTCACCTGTTTTTCTTTTAAGGCTAATGCATTTTAGTAGTGAATTAGTTTGAGATTAAAGCTCTGCTGGTTTCTAACAGTGTTACTGTTAAGAAGAATGATCACAAAATATAGACAGACAAATACCTTGCTTTTTTCTTGCTGAAATTCTATCTGGATGTTGGTTAGTTTAGTTCGTAGCTCCTCATTAGCAGCTTGCAGGGCTTCAATCTCCATGTCGGACTTCTCTCCCTTGGCACGACTTTTCTTTGACATAATTATTTTTGAAGTTTAAAATAAAGTTTTTGCTCCACACTGAGCTACCAGCTAGTGCCTTTTTGCTTTTAGCATTTAAGAGCCATGTAATGTTCAACAAAATATTTCACACAAATCTCTGCCATCGTAGAAGTAGTCTCTCACGTCCTGGAAGAAATAAAGTAGTGGGAATAGAATTAGGCTACGGCATTGAGCAGAATCAAACACCAGACATAACATCCAGTTTTAAAGCACACTGAACTTCCTTGTAGTATATACAATATTGTATAGTGTACTAGACTTTGAAAGAAATAGATCAGAAAAGAGGAAGTTACACAATATGTCATCATCTTCTCTAAACCCTATCCACTGTAATGTGATGTCCACAGAAATAAAACTATTTACAGTTATGATCAATATAGTATACAAACAGAAATCATATCTTATTCAAGACCTGACTTGGACCATACTCAGGATTCCCAAGAGGCACAGAGACAACTATAAATTAACCAAGGCTGGTGGTGCTTAAGTGGGAACAGTTTACTTCTGGTAGTAAGAAGAAAGCACTTTTCACCTTAATGTATCAGTTATAATTTATCATTGTATTATTCATAATTATCATTGAGTCTCACAGCATCAGGATATATGGAAAAGCTTTATGTAATATTCAAGGAGAATATCAATAGCAGACAAAGAATCCTAATTCTAACAATTAGGAAATCCCACAATTAGTTTGCTTCATAAGTAGTCATAGAAGCTGAATCTGCAGTATTTTTTCCTCTCTGCTCTCTAAGAATAACCTGGTGCTTCACAGGAACAAACTGAGCAGCAAGTGATATCAATGCTGAATTAGTTTCTAAACTCACATGCTCTGCTCATTCTAAATATCCATATAATTTTCATTATTCAATTGCTGACAAAGCAGTGAGGTTCCTACTTTAATACCAAACTACATTCCTGGAGTATTATATTTCCAAGAAAATTACTGTCAAATTATCTTCAAACAATAAGTTGCTTTTTCCAACTTACTTCTGCCTGGGAGTTCTTTTAGAAATTGTATTAGAATGAAAATCACATGCATTCTTTTGCATGTACTTTCTAAAAGGTTAACAGCTAATACCTCAGGTGTGTAAAGACAAACATCATTTGGTGAATTCAATTAAATATGTAAGTATTATTCTCCTCTTTAAGGACTGGTAAACAGAAACCAAGGAGTTAAATATCTTGCTCAAAATGACAAGTCAAATCAGACAAAAAGTGAACAGAACTCAGGACACCAAATCTCAGTCTGTTTGACAGTGTTCCCATTGAGTTATTTCATTTATAAAAAGCAATTGAAAAAACACCAACTATACCAATTGTTTGCTAAAGTAACTTAAGTGAAATCATTGTTTTGCTTTGTAATATAGATGTATTTCCTTTGAAACTTAATAATCTATCAATTTATCCTATGCAATAAAATTGAATCTGTTCCTTAAATTCATAATATTGAGCATTTTCAATAACTTATGAAAAATCAGGAAACAATTAAACACCGGTGCTATTGTGGTTTTACACATAATTGTTGATTCAAGAAAAATAAATCAGCAGTATTCTTAACAGTAACTTGAAACAAAGAACTCTTCAGTGAGTCAAAGAAACTTGAGGAAATATTGTTCTTAATAAAGTTTTTTCATGCTATTAATCTATGGAATTTCTATGATATTAAAGATTAAAACTAAATACTATTTAATCAGTATATTTCATCCAAAATCCTTAATTGTACGGAAAACCTGAATTCAAAATCAGTTGCTAGTCTTTCCCTGGTCAATTTGTAAAGAAAATCTAAAACAACATAGATGTGCAAATCCAATCTATAATAATTCCACAGCATTTACAGTGTTGGAAGGGGAAATAAATTGTTCCTTATCTCAAAGGCAATTGGAGGTTTTCATATACTATCAAGCAATTATTCCCAAAATCCTTACTAAAACAAAATTCCTGATGCAGTCAGACTATATATTATTTAATTCAGTAGAGGATTAACGTGGTTAAGGAAACCAAAAACATTCCTTGCTGGCCTGACTGCATGAATTTTAAACCCATTAGATTCTCCCCCTGCCCCCATCTCAATTACAGTTTGCAATAAAGAACATTTAAGTGATAGACGTATTTGCTTCTCCATCAGTAAAATGAGAAAGTGAGGTAACTGTGCTTGATGTGGATATACATGACATCCTGAGAACAGAAAAAGATATTTGAAATGTGAAGTGTTTTGAAATTACCACATATATTTTGTTCAGTAACAATACTCTCTCCTGATCGTATCGTGTTCCCAAGCATGTTATGAAGGTACTATACCATTCAATATGAACATTAGGTGATGGTCTGTCTCTGAAGTCCTGGTCATGCATAACTCTCAATTACCGCAGAGTTCGTATTCTATCATAGAGTCCCCATCACTCAAAGCCTTTAACAAATAAGGTGCTAAGATCAAGTACTAGCACTACTTTTTGAAGTACTCTTTAGAACTAAAAAAAATGGGAATCTCAAAACATTGTTTTCAATCTTTTTCCTTTAACTCGCAACAGTTGAAAATTGTACCTTTCGAGTAAAATAAAAGCTTAGACCCAAAATCTGAAGAAAATCACCCTCTTCTCTTATAGGCATTAAGAAAAAAAAAAAAAAAAAGAAAACAAAGAAACAACCAAAACAATCCATTGACCTACATTGGTGGGCACTGAAACATTTCCATTTTCACTCCTCCCCAGATACATCTTCCAGCCTATCTGTTTCAAAAGCAGGAACTATGGCAACACAAAGCCTCTCTATATACTCAGAAAGGCACAAAGCCCAGACACACAAGGGCTACAGCAGAAGAGCATGCATCTTGATTGCCAAATCAAAAGGTTAGGACCAGTGAGTGCCTAGATTCCCTTCTACCTGACTACCCACATTTACTGTTTGGATAAAGGTCAGGATAAACAAAAACAACTAAAAAACCAAAACACAACTTGTAAACACAGTGAGAAAAAAGAAGGAAAAAATATTCTACTCTGACAAATTTTGACTTTACTGACTCAGAAGATTCAATCTATTTATTAACTCACCATATGTCAGTTGATAGGCAAGTTCATGAAGCTACCACAATACAGTCCCACAATCACTCCATGACTAAAAAATAGCCACTTCCTGCACTGTGAATTCTACACACTTACTGCAAACCTTGAGATCATTTGAACATATTTTACATTTCACAAAAAAAAAAAAGGATAGGAATGAAAAATGAATTCTAAATCACAAGCCATCTTTTCAGCAGTCTCTGGAATGTACCGAGTATCTCAATTTACTTGATAGGTATAGGGGTACTTGTAATTCAAGAAAAAGAACAACAAAAGAAAGAACCTTGATTGGGTTTGAATCAACTGTTCAAGAGTTGGGGGATTGGCAGGTGAGGGATCAAAATGTTTAACATGATTGGCAAACTATTACTCCATTTGTGTTAGATGTTTTGGGAAATTCATTAAATTTCCAAGGTACCTGGAAAACCAATCAGCTGAACAGTGTTCCAACCAGAACTTCCATTTTCTCTTCTGTTTGTTTTACAGATTTAAAGCACATACTTTATCACTACCCCAATCTCTTCTCTGGTTTTAGCAAGAAAGTTCTAGAACAAAGTCATGAATTGCTATGGGATGATTCTAGATAATAAAGATCAATAAAACATAACAGTAAAAAAAGAAAAATTAATTACTGCAAAAAATGTGACAGTGTAGCATCAAAGAATTTTGGTTACATAAGAGTAAGAAAAGAAGGAACTTAACAGTTTCTGGTGAAAAATAACTCCATTTAAAGAAATGCAAGTCTTTAAACATGATTCTGAACTGAATAAACAAAAATAAGTAGAGGGTTTTATCTTGGGAGAGCGAGTGTTACAGTAATAAACAGTAATCAACAGGAACAGTAAGTACATCCCTAAACTCAAATAACAAATATGGATAAAATAACATGGTAACAAGAAAAATTTACTAAATAGTGTCATCCAAAATTCAGCATTCTAGTATTGATTCAGATTTGAACATTCTTCAGCTTGAACATGATTTTTGGAAGGTGAAGTTGTTGATGAGTTGTCTCAGCAGAAACATCAAGCAAAAACACAGGTACAGGGGGAAAAAAAAAAAAAAAACACACAAGCTCCTTCATCTAGATATTTCACCTCCACATAAACAGTGGTTTTTTCATTTTACTTCAACCTTTCTCTTATAATACTGCAGAGTGTCCTATGGGTTACCCATAACTCTTATTACGCTTGTGAACATGAGACATAAGTACATTCTTAGTACACCACAATTCTGAATATTCAAGAAGTTTAAAATAAATTTTATTATCCTAGCACCTGTCCATAGTAAATGCAGTGGATACAGCTACAATGTTAACTTCAGAAGTAACTGCCAGTTCAGCTATGTTATAGTTTAAAAATACAGTGATAATCAAACAGTGACTGTATGGGAAAGACAGTGTTCATAGCTCCCTATGCTCAAGGCGCATTGCTCACAAGGTTCGGATGACCTACATTTCCTGCTTCAATTCTCAGTTCTATGTAATAAAGCATGATTGAATGGACAAAACCAAAAGCATCTCTACAGGATGTAAAATAATACTTTTCCCAGCCAAAAAATATAAATACAAATTATCAGAATAATTTTCTAAGTATATTGTAGGCTAGTCATGTTTTAGATGCCCATTTGTTAGCTACCTACAGAGACAGATCTATTTCTATAACAGCAGAGCTTTTAGGGGTTATTTTAAATCCTGTCCCACTTAGGAAAATGCAGAGTTTCCTTACAGTGGAACACTTTTGTAAGCGTCACTTGTGATTTTTTGGGGGGGATAAAAAGAAAAACATCTTTATCATTAACTAACAATCATAATAGAAAGCTCCACATCCATTTTTGCAGGTTCACAGCCTGCAGCTATTCTTGTTTGAATAACAATATACCTATATACAACTATAATTGCTTTAATAACAACATAATTAACAA